AAGCTATATTATAAGTTCCATCCTGGGAACGTAGACAAGTTCCATCCTGGGAACGTAGACAAGTAAGCTATATCATAAGTTCCATCCTGGGCAACCTATAGATGAGACAAGTAAGCTATATCATAAGTTCCATCCTGGGAACGTAGACAAGTAAGCTATATCATAAGTTCCATCCTGGGAACGTAGACAAGTAAGCTATATCATAAGTTCCATCCTGGGAACGTAGACAAGTAAGCTATATCAGAAGTTCCATCCTGGGAACGTAGACAAGTAAGCTATATCAGAAGTTCCATCCTGGGAACGTAGACAAGTAAGCTATATTATAAGTTCCATCCTGGGAACGTAGACAAGTTCCATCCTGGGAACGTAGACAAGTAAGCTATATCATAAGTTCCATCCTGGGAACGTAGACAAGTAAGCTATATCATAAGTTCCATCCTGGGAACGTAGACAAGTAAGCTATATCATAAGTTCCATGCTGGGAACGTAGACAAGTAAGCTATATCATAAGTTCCATCCTGGGAACGTAGACAAGTAAGCTATATCAGAAGTTCCATCCTGGGAACGTAGACAAGTAAGCTATATTATAAGTTCCATCCTGGGAACGTAGACAAGTAAGCTATATTATAAGTTCCATCCTGGGAACGTAGACAAGTAAGCTATATTATAAGTTCCATCCTGGGAACGTAGACAAGTAAGCTATATCATAAGTTCCATCCTGGGAACGTAGACAAGTAAGCTAATACAGAAGTTCCATCCTGGGAACGTAGACAAGTAAGCTATATCATAAGTTCCATCCTGGGAACGTAGGCAAGTAAGCTATATCAGAAGTTCCATCCTGGGAACGTAGGCAAGTAAGCTATATCATAAGTTCCATCCTGGGAACGTAGACAAGTAAGCTATATCAGAAGTTCCATCCTGGGAACGTAGACAAGTAAGCTATATCAGAAGTTCCATCCTGGGAACGTAGACAAGTAAGCTATATCATAAGTTCCATCCTGGGAACGTAGACAAGTAAGCTATATCAGAAGTTCCATCCTGGGAACGTAGACAAGTAAGCTATATCATAAGTTCCATCCTGGAACGTAGGCAAGTAAGCTATATCAGAAGTTTCATCCTGGGAACGTAGGCAAGTAAGCTATATCAGAAGTTCCATCCTGGGATCGAAGGCAAGTAAGCTATATCAGAAGTTCCATCCTGGGAATGCAGGCAAGTAAGCTATATCAGAAGTTCCATCCTGGGAACGTAGACAAGTAAGCTATATCATAAGTTCCATCCTGGGAACGTAGACAAGTAAGCTATATCATAAGTTCCATCCTGGGAACGTAGACAAGTAAGCTATATCATAAGTTCCATCCTGGGAACGTAGACAAGTAAGCTATATCAGAAGTTCCATCCTGGGAACGTAGACAAGTAAGCTATATCATAAGTTCCATCCTGGGAACGTAGACAAGTAAGCTATATCATAAGTTCCATCCTGGGAACGTAGGCAAGTAAGCTATATCAGAAGTTCCATCCTGGGAACGTAGACAAGTAAGCTATATCAGAAGTTCCATCCTGGGGAACGTAGACAAGTAAGCTATATCATAAGTTTCCATCCTGGGAACGTAGGCAAGTAAGCTATATCATAAGTTCCATCCTGGGAACGTAGACAAGTAAGCTATATCATAAGTTCCATCCTGGGAACGTAGACAAGTAAGCTATATCATAAGTTCCATCCTGGGTACGTAGACAAGTAAGCTATATCATAAGTTCCATCCTGGGAACGTAGACAAGTAAGCTATATCATAAGTTCCATCCTGGGAACGTAGGCAAGTAAGCTATATCAGAAGTTCCATCCTGGGAACGTAGGCAAGTAAGCTATATCAGAAGTTCCATCCTGGGAACGTAGACAAGTAAGCTATATCAGAAGTTCCATCCTGGAACGTAGGCAAGTAAGCTATATCAAAGTTCCATCCTGGGAACGTAGGCAAGTAAGCTATATCAGAAGTTCCATCCTGGGAACGTAGGCAAGTAAGCTATATCATAAGTTCCATCCTGGGAACGTAGACAAGTAAGCTATATCAGAAGTTCCATCCTGGGAACGTAGACAAGTAAGCTATATCAGAAGTTCCATCCTGGGAACGTAGACAAGTAAGCTATATCATAAGTTCCATCCTGGGAACGTAGACAAGTAAGCTATATCAGAAGTTCCATCCAGGGAACGTAGGCAAGTAAGCTATATCAGAAGTTCCATCCTGGGAACGTAGGCAAGTAAGCTATATCATAAGTTCCATCCTGGGAACGTAGGCAAGTAAGCTATATCAGAAGTTCGATCCTGGGAACGTAGGCAAGTAAGCTATATCATAAGTTCCATCCTGGGAACGTAGGCAAGTAAGCTATATCAGAAGTTCCATCCTGGGAACGTAGGCAAGTAAGCTATATCATAAGTTCCATCCTGGGAACGTAGACAAGTAAGCTATATCAGAAGTTCCATCCTGGGAACGTAGACAAGTAAGCTATATCAGAAGTTCCATCCTGGGAACGTAGACAAGTAAGCTATATCATAAGTTCCATCCTGGAACGTAGACAAGTAAGCTATATCAGAAGTTCCATCCTGGGAACGTAGACAAGTAAGCTATATCATAAGTTCCATCCTGGGAACGTAGGCAAGTAAGCTATATCAGAAGTTTCATCCTGGGAACGTAGGCAAGTAAGCTATATCAGAAGTTCCATCCTGGGATCGAAGGCAAGTAAGCTATATCAGAAGTTCCATCCTGGGAATGCAGGCAA